AGCTACCTCATGAGCTTTCTGAGGGGAATACCCGAGTTAATTTCTGACAAGTGTCTAGAGTGCTTCGCATAGTATAAGCATGGGTTAATGGTTTATTGTTAGCACCGTTTTTGACATAAGCCAACAAAAGATGCCACGCTGGGGTAATACACACGAAACCCTCCTGTGTGTGCTGGAGTTGTTTTCTGTCATATCCCTATGAGCAGGCAGAGGCCTAGGGACCAGGATCCCTCAGAGACCCTTATCTTTGTCTAGAAACAAATTATATTGCTCTCTGCATTGCTGATCTTGCATATTTCTATACTTTCTGCAATTAAGGAAATCTGCGTTCTCTAATCACAACTGTGGGCTTCCTGGTGGCTCAGTGGTAAAGAATCTGCCTACCAATGCAGGAGAAACATGGGTTCAATCCCTGGGTTGTGAAGATACCATGGAACTGGTGGATCAGAATTTTCTGGAGTCTCTTTAAACATATAAGATAAAGTAAATTCTGACATGCTGTCTTTGAAGACTGAGAAGGGGTGATATAGACCCATAGTGAGCATCCCTGCCAAACGATTGTAGCTGATACTGATGATCACTTGACATGTGGGGAATAAAATATTTTTAAAAACCACAGTTAATAGTCAAGAAAAATGAATATACTAACACCTATTTTTTTCTAAATCTATATTTGAGATTTACATTTAGATTAACATAAGAGGAATGGATATCAATGAAGGGTAGTAGCTTTGAAAATAAAAGTTTTCATATTCTATTAATATTGGTGATGCACCCTGCCCCAGTTTTAAGATTTTCTTTACTGTGATAAAATATACATAACATACAATTTATGATTTTAAGCATTTTTTAGTGTAAAATCCAATAACATTAAATACATTTACATTGTTCTGCTACCATCACCACTACTCATGTCTAGAACTTTTTCATCTTCCTGAATTGAAACTCTGTAATAACTAAACATAAGTCTCTAGTATCCCCTTCCCATAAATCCTGGCAACCATCACTCTATTTTTGTTTTTTATAAACTCCAGGAGCCTAATACAACTGAAATTTTATAGTATCTTTTCTTCTGTGTTGGGCTTATTTCACTTAACATAACATCTTCAAGGTGTAGCATATGCTATAATTCTTTTTTTAAGACAGATGATTTTCCAACATATCACATTTTGTTTATCCACTTAACCATTAATACCCACTATGTAGATTGTTTCCACCTTTAAGTTATTGTGAATAATGTTGCTATGAACATTGATGTACAAATTCCTATTTGAGTTCCTGCTTTAATTCTCTTGGGTATATGGGTGATACATTTAATGCACATTAATTCTTATATTAAAGACTGAAGAAAAAAAAATACAATTTGATTTCCTTTTCCTTCTCCATCTCCCTGCAATTAAAATTGGTGTGATCAATGAAAATCAATTTGGTAGAATCAATTGTGATAGAGATATCATCATTAAACTATAGTAATGTAGCAAATAGTCCCTAATTGATTCTTTTGCTCTGTGTCCTTTGACATAATCCAAGAGTTACTTTAACTTGTTGTGAACATTTGAATTTTTGAGCCAGAATCCAAATGTCTACATGTGTTCATAAATAAAACCTTTAATAATTACTTGCTTTTTTGGTCTGATTTATTAGAATGTTAACTCTATAAGGGCAGAGGGACAGTCTGTTTTTCCTGCCTCTGTATTCCCAGCACACACCAGGTACACGGTGTATATTTTCTAAAAAGAAATTTAAATAATTTGTCTGTAAGCAAATTAGATATGACATTTCAGAGCACACATATATCTACATATACAATTTTCTTTCTTATATCACTTATATTTGATAATTAATTTCAATAATATTCTCACTGTGTTGCCTTTCTCCTAACATTTTTAGTAATGTCTTTAATCCTTTGTCTATATTTGAAATTAGTAAGTATAGTTTTAGGCTTGATATTTCAGTCATATTTTTTAGTCAATCTGCAATATGGTTCCTCTTTCTCTTCCTATACATAATATAATTTTTAAAATTTATTATTTACCTTTAGGCATTTCATGAGCAACTAAAACAAATTAAGTTGCATGTATGGTACATACATCTAACATTACCAAATATTATACAATAAGTGGTAAAAAATATTTTTCACAATCATAGGCTGCTTCCCTATATTTTTAAATTATATTTCTGCCAAGATCAGGGCTTGGCTGGCCCTGATCCAGGGTTATTTCTAATAACATTTTTCTGCTGCTCTAAGTATGAATTGAGAACTGCTNGCCCTGATCCAGGGTTATTTCTAATAACATTTTTCTGCTGCTCTAAGTATGAATTGAGAACTGCTCAACTTACTTTCATTCCGATTAAATTTAGAAAGGAGAAACTTCCAGTGTTCAAGGCTAAAGGCAGCATCTGCAAATGTTCACCACTGAAGATTTATTACCTTCATCACTTCCTAAGGTCCCGTCCTCCTATCACTGTTCCACTAACACACACTGTACTTTGTTTCGTCTGGGTTTGCCTTTGTGTTTCTTCTGCTTAGACTATCCTACTCATTTGTTTCACTTTGAGAAAGTCCAATGACTCTGTATTTGTGTGTGTTCAGTCCTGTCCAACTCTGTGCGACTCCATGGACTGTAGCCCACCAGGCTCCTCTGTCAATGGAATTTTCCAGGCAAGAATAGTGGAATGGTTCATCATTTCCTTCTCTAGGGGATCTTCCCAATCAAGAGATTGATAAAACTTGTGTCTCCTGCATTGACAGGCAGATTCTTTACCACTACACCACCTGGGACTCCACAGTGACCCTCAAGTTCTTCATTCCCAGGAAACCTTTTATGTTCTTTCACCAATGAAAATGCCTCCTTCCCTTAAATTCACACTATTTGTGCTTCTTGACTGCATTGATTGTCACAACATACACCTGCATCACTATATTGGTACACTTTCTCACGATCTCTCTCTGTATCTCTGTCTGTGTATCCCCTCTTACATAGCATATTGTATTGCATGAAATTGGTTTTCTAAAATGTACCCCTCTCCCTAGCCTGAATAATCTACAGATCAACTGAAGAAAGGAATGTCCTACAGAATTCTTGGCAGTCCTAAAGAAACAATCAATTACATCCCCATTTCAGTTCAGTTCAGTTCAGGCCCTCAGTCGTGTCTGACTCTTTGTGACCTCATGAACTGCAGCATGTCAGGCCTCCCTGTCCACCACCAACTCCCGGAGTCCACCCAAACCCATGTCCATTGAGTCGGTGATGCCATCAAACCATCTCATCCTCTGTCGACCNCTTTCTTTTTATTTTCTTCTTATCCTCTTCATATTCTACCACCATGATTTAAGCCACTACTGATTCTTGCCTGGACTACTGATGCATTGGGCTCGGTTTCTATTCTTATCTAAAACGCTGTGTACCTTTTCCCACTCCTCACCCTGCACAGCATTCAAAATAATCCCTTTGTATTGGATTATGTCACACTTCTAGACAGAACCATTCAAAGACGTTCTTTCAAAATACATCAAGGATAAATACCATATCCCAGTCCTGGGCTGCATCTCCAGTCTCATCCCCAGCCAGGCTTTTTAGTCACATTGAATTCCAAATTTCCTCCAGCTTTAGAGACTTTGTATCAGAATGCCCAGAATGCATCTTACCTAGAAATACACAAGTCTTGTTCTTAACATGACATTGGATCTATAATTTGTTTCTGTACTAGTTTGTTTGCATTATCAAGGTGGGGAACTGGGGGTTCTTTGTTTGTTTGATTATTTTTCAATTGCTCTATGTCCAGCTTCTAGAACAATGCAGACTATAAACATTCAGAAATTATTTACCAACTGAATGAATGAACTGAATCAATCCTTTATAATACTAAACTGTAAAATAAGATAAACATCATCAACAAAGGACTGTTATTTGTTAATCATAATACAAATTTGATACAATGTGTTGGCTTAAATTTGTAGACCAATTTTAGTTTTAACTGATGATTCAAATCAAGAGTACAAATCTGGCACTGTGAAAGAGATATTTTGCAAGTACACACACATGCTTTATTTGCTTGATTTTTCTTTCATATTAAGAATATTTATAAGATGATAAAAATCACATGTAAGAAGAACTCAATCATGATGATCCGGTTAATAGGGAAAGAAAGGCAATTATCTACTCATGTGCCAAACTAGAAGCAATCAACAGCTGGATTTGCTTAGAGATATTTAGGTTTTATGTTTTTACATTAATAGCTATTTTAAAATTTGATCATTAAAATAGTTTCAGAAAAATAAATCTAATAAAGCCTTGTATCCTACAAAATTTCCCTTAGTGTAATGCAATATTTACAAATTTATTTCTTAGCTATAAAACATTCTTCAAATTTATGTACTGCTAACTATTGAACACATATTTGGTAATTAACTAAAGAAAAATTTCAAATTAGCAACTTTAATCTTAGATGTTGTATTTTTAAACTAGGTGAGCAAAAAACTTGACCTATAGTTTTTAAAAAATCTTTACTAAAGTACTGATGTTAGTAGCATTATTTTTCTCATTGATTCAACTAACATTTTGAATTTTTAAAACTAATTGCTAAAAAAATTACAAAATTTATTTCATTATTTCTTCAATTAGAAAATAGCAATTTTATATTTGCTATAAGACTCCATTCTGAGAATCTTTGGAATTATTTTAAATCAGACCTTAATATAAAAGGCATACAAATCTACTAGGAAAACATACATCTTAATATTCTATTCTATGTAAAACATCATAAGAAATTTGTTTCTATTTTTATAGTGAAAATAAAGCACAAAAATTACTCAGCATTCACCTCATAATTAATCTGTGTTGACTAATTAAACTCATATATCTGTAAGCTTCAGATTTTCATTTAAACAATAGAAATATGCATTCAGTTAATATAAATTATATGGGTATAATTTATTTGCAAAATGTGAGCTGTTTGTTTTCACTTTTAATTCTTTATCTTAACAAATGTTCTCATACCTTAACTCTTAACACAGAAGCAAACATCCTTGCATCTTCAGACACACCTCCAATGTAGAATTTTTTCTGAAACACTGGGGGATGATCATTTTCATCCTGAATCTCAATATACACTTTAGCTGTATTGCCTGGAAGATAACAAATGGTATATATTTTATTGATGGTTACTCACTGGAAAAAAATGGAGTGGAGTAGACACTTATACTTTTTTTCCCCCTGAACAATGTAACTAACTTAATTCAGATAGTCATTCTTCTTTGGCATGCTTAATACCCTATGCCCACAGAGGACACTGATAATGATGTTTCTGGCATCATGATGTTAAGTTGCTGCTATTTCTTTTAATTACAATGTCTTCTTAATTTATTTTACTGGATTTAATAGGCAGTAAAGTATTGCATTTTGCTAATTTTAGTAAAACAACTCAACAATTTGTATTCACAATTACTTCACACACATTACCAAATTACATCAAAATGACACAAACATATTAAACAACTTATGAAATAATAAAGTCTGCTATAAATTTTAAAAATTTATTCTCAAGTTTGTAACTAGCAATGATATTTTCTTAGCTTAAAATGCAGCATATATATGTAGTATGTGTGTGCATGCTCAGCCTTATCCCACTCTGCAACCCTAGGACTATAGCCCACCAGCTCCTCTGCCCATGGAATTCTTCTGGCAAGAATGCTGGAGTAATTTGCCATGCCCTTCTACCAGGGATCTTCCTGACCTAGGGATCAAACCCATGTCTCCTGTGTCTTCTGCATTGCAGGAGGATTCCTTATTGCTGAGCCACCCAGGAAGCCTGTGCATAGTATACATACATATACAGTATATACATATGTAACATATATATATATAACATGTATATATGTGTATGTATATATCTATCTATATCTATCTATCTGTATAGTATACAATGGTTGGGTGAGGGACTTATTCCCACCAAGAGAAAAGAAGTTTTACTGTGTATCAGAGACTATGCTGCCTTTACTGAAAAAGATATAAGTGGAAAATGTGTATTATATGACTTATAAATACTGGGTTTTATAATTTAAACCACATTAAACATACAATAAGGGATACATTTCTTCATCACATGTTTAATCTCACTCCTTCAATCATCACACCTTTAAGGAAAAAAAAAACTTTTTATTAGTCCACAAATGACCACTTAACAAAGAATCTGATAAAAATAACTTACAAATTAGATAAAATGAGGAATACATGATAAACATTTTGTAAAATGCAGATTTAAATTACAAAAATATTCTGAGGTACTTATGTAAATTTTTCTCATGCATTCCATGTAGGATCAAATATAGAGCAACTGATCTACAAACTATCAGGCACACCTGGATTTTATTACTTTATTGTATTCTCAACCATAACTAATTAACATGAAGCTACTAGCACAGTGGGTAGATCATAGGTATATAATATTTCCATGTCAACTGAATAAATGAATGAATAATCTTCATTATCCTTATAAGAATTTAGAAATGGGCACCTTTTTGCTTGACTTGGGAAAGATCAGTGAGACAAGACAATTAATTCCAGAGTTTTACCACTGTCTTGCTGCTACTCAGTTCAGTTCAGTTCAGTTGTTCAGTCATGTCTGACTTTTTGCAACCCCATGAACTGCAGCATGCTGGGCCTCCCTGTCCATCACCAACTCCCGAAGCTTGCTCAAACTCATGTCCATTGAGTCGGTCATTCATTCCTTACATTGATATTCTACTAAGAGTTAGAGAACAGAAAGATCGCTGTGATTGGAGAGAGCAACATGGAAAACGTGAGACTGAATCTCNGTTTCTCATGATGTACTCTGCATATAAGTTAAATAAGCAGGGTGACAATATACAGCCTTAACGTACTCCTTTTCCTATTTGGAACCAGTCTGTTGTTCCATGTCCAGTTCTAATTGTTGATTTCAGACCTGCATACAGGTTTCTCAAGAGGCAGATCAGGTGGTCTGGTATTCCCATCTCTCTCAGAATTTTCCACGGTTTATTGTGATCCACACAGTCAAAGGCTTTGGCATAGTCAATACAGCAGAAATAAATATCTTTCCCACAATTCCTAAACTGGACAAACTGGAATCAAAGAGAAAACATGTGCTAGGCCAACAGGGAAGGGTACTAGCAAGGAAGTAAGGCTAATGGCAGACTATGCTTTCCTATCCTGCAGCTCCAGGGCTCTGAATTGCACCCTGGTCAGCCACCCACAGAGTTCATCCAAAATGACACCCATTTTCATCTTAGTAGCAAACAATCTTTAAATTCTAGAATCAAAGTTAAGAGTTCTACATTTGATAGTTAAAAAAAGAAGTCAATCTTAAAGTATAAATGAAGATCTAATGGTCAACATGGTGATGATATTTAATGATTCTATACTAAAGAGAGTAGATTTAACATGTTACTACACACACACGCACACACACACACAGAACACAAATGTTACCTTTGTGAGTTAATAGATGTGACAACTAACTTGTGGTAAGCATTTCACAGTATATATGTATGTGGCTCAGTGGTAAAGAATCCACCTGCCAATGCAGGATGCTCCGGTTCAATATCTGGATTGGAAAGAATCCCTGGAGAAGGAGTGGCAACCCACTCCAGTATTCTTGCCGGGCAATCCCATGGACAGAGGAGCCTGGTGGGCTATAGTCCAAGAGGTCACAAAGATTGGACATAATTTAATGACAAAGCAATAGCAATGTATATCAAAACACCACATTTTACAATTTAAATATACACAGTTAAATTTGTCCATTATATCTGAAGAAAGCAGGGGAGTGGAAATGATGATGTATCTAATCAAAGAATATAAGATAAATGGTGACAAGTCAAAAAATAATGAAATGTACCCCTACAGTTTAATCACTAGAATAGCATTCACGTACATTTCCTGATTAATTAGCACACAATATACATGACATGGTAAATTTCTGAAGCTCGCACACTGACTGTGAGAACTAAGGACTGTATCATGATCTTTCATCTAATTTGGTTTTTGATTTATTGCTAAGGCAGAAATTTGGAAGCAACTCTAATTTAAATTCATTTAAGTCTACTATTTACCTCCATGAGTATTTTCAGAATCTTTTATTTTCCCCATATTATATGCTTTATTTAAGGTAGTTATGAAGCACATAACAAAAAAGAAAGATGCAGGAAGGGGTGCAGATGAGGACAGTAAAGTGGTATTGATAAAATGGACAAGAGAATACTGTGAGAACAACACAAATGCACGATGACCCGATACCCTCCTATAGTCTCCCTTCTGGTTGGGTGAGACAATGAGACCCTCCCAATGAGAACCACAGGGGATGAAAAATCACAAGCTGGATGAAAGATTTACTTGGCAAGAGTTTTAGTTAAAAGACATTGCAACCCTCTATGAATTTGGGTGCCCAGTGCCTCATTTCCCTTCCTTCATTGACACTTTTTTTCTCCAATTTTGTATGAGAGAACATTTTCTTTAGGCAGTACCTTTAGGTTCAGCAAGTCAAGAAGGTCCAGAAGTGATCCTTTATGCAAGGAAATGTGAGCTATCTTCATGGGACTTAGTTTAAAGCAAGAGAAAACAGAGCTACTAAGAAGTAAAGCTAAGAAAAAGAAGTATGAGTCAGAATAGAAAACTCCTTGAATAGATCTTCTGTTCTATTTTAGACATCCTAAATAAGCTGAAAAAGGTTCCGAAGAGTAACTGATAGCAAAAATATCATTAATGCTGGGCTTCTCTTGTGGTCTAGTGGTGCAATTCAGAGGACACCCCTTCAATCCCTGGTCCAGGAAAATCCCATATGCCTGAGGGCAACTAAGTCTAAAAGCCACACCTGCTAAGCCCACACACTATAACTCCCGAAGCCCGTGTACCTAGAGCCTATGCTCTGCAACAAGAGAAAGCCCTGAAATGAGAAACCTGTGCACCACAACGAAGAGTAGTCCCTGCTTGCCACAACTAGACTTTATGTTTTTCAAGACCAAATTTGGTGGATTTTCCCCTTTTCTCTCTAATAATTAATTTTGTGCTATTAGCTTTCTCTTGTTGTTATTTAAGTGCTAGGTTGTATCAGACTCTTTTGTGATCCATGGGCTGTAACCCACCAGGCTCCTCTGTCTATGGGATTCTCCAGACAAGAATACTAGAGTGGGTTGGTATGTCCCCCTCTTCAGAATTTTCCCAACTCAGGGATTGAATCAAGGTCTCCTGTGTCTCCTTCATTGGCCGGCATTTTTTTGTTTGTTTGTTTTAACCAATAGTGCCACCTAGAAAGCCTTGCTCTCCACATGACGAGCCTATTGCCTATGTTGCATCGGATTCTCATAAAATACTTTCTAAATAATGATTCAAGGAGTAAAAGCAATGGTTCTTAACTATGATTAATTTTGCCCATTCAGAGATGCTTTTGGTAGTGAAATCTGCAGAGAATGAGGCAGTGAGGAGAGTGATACTAGAATTTAGTTGGTAATGGCCAAAGATGCTGAGAAATACCCTGTGATGAATAGGACACGCTCTTACAACAAAAAATTATCTAGCCCAAAATGTGAATAGTGAGATTGAAAAACCCTAATTAAAATGCGAGAGTGAGAGAGATTAGAGGAATAAAAATAAAATGGAAAGTTTCTGCAAATATATAGCAAAACCGTCTCCTGAGGCCATGTGCATGCACATGCCTTCAACAAAGGACTCAATTAAAATGGGTAAAATGGACTGCGATTATTTGATAAAACAATGTTTATCACCATTTCCATTGAGTTCTTTAACGTCAGAGATTCAATCCTGTTCATCTTCACTCCTATTGGCACTGGCTCCTGCTCCTGATATTCCCTCAGTTTGAATGCTCTAAACTTCAACCATATATCTAATTATTTCTAGCATATATACATCAAAGAGGTATTGATTACCATACTTGGGAATTAAAGAGCTTAGTCTGAGAGAAAACACACTAAACTAGACTGAATCCAAGGATGGTGTTTTTCTTATTGTTAAATATTCTGCAAAATGTAACACATTAAACTGATTTTTTGAACTGTATCAAATGTGATTCTATTGCAGAGACCTTTAAAAAATGCTTGGATTGCAAGATTTATGTATTTCTTACTTTGTTGGT